ATTATTGTATTAGGCTTCTTATTGTGATACAATAGGGTTTTGTTATTAAGACAAACAGCGAGCAAAACCAAATTCATGTATTACACATCTCCTCAAGGCAGTGTGGGTTGGGAATCATTCACCACTGAAATCGCAACCCCACCCCACCCCACCCCCATCTGCAATTCTCTTGTTACTTCCTGTTTCACTAAAGCAATCCCAGAATGTGTTACTCTGTGACCTATGCCGTGGATTGCATGGGTTTCAGTGACACTGGCACTTCTGCTGTGTGTGATGGCCCATTCTAGGCTACTCTCTGTGAAACAGCAGGTACTAAGGATTTTGCAGAAGGGGTGGGAAGGAGAACTATTACAAGGTTCTCTAAAAAGTTAGTGAGGCTGCTCTGGTCCTGATCCTACTGATATAGCTTCCTGCTGCTCGGCCCCCCCAGTTTGCTTCGGGGAGGAGTTCAGGAGAAGGATCCTGCATTTAACTCCATATTCAGTTTTGCTTTGCAGTTCACCTTTGACTATCTCTACACGGAAGCCAGTGGAACACAAATTTCTAGCAGTGACTCTCAGCCCACACAATGTCTTAGCAGCTCAGGCTTTTGAAATTGTTTTTCTCACAAATAATCTGATTTTATCTCCAATTTTTAAAAAGGGAAAGAAAGAGAATTTCCAGTTTTGTACCCGTTAGAAAAATACACAATTGTGGGTCCTGAAACTGTGCGAAAATAAGTTACAGTGAAAGAGCATATGCTGACTTTTTATGGAGGTTTTCTAATTTTATGTTTTAAAGGTGCCGTTACATAGTATTGAAGAATGAAAGTGATCATTTTTTAATTTAAATGAAGTTCAAAATGTACATGTCATCAAGGATCTATTTCCCCCTCCCCCCCCATTCTTAAAATATTTTGGCAGACTCCACAACACTTGAAGAGAGTCTCCTTACTGTCTCACAGGGGCAAATTGAGAGAGATCATAAGGGACTTATGCCTGCATGTTGAAAAGAGCTCAGTGTGCATGTGGACCCCATGAACGCAAGGATCTTCCTGCACAAATCAGGGTCTAATACTACTTCAAATAAACATCATGATTTCACAAAAGACGTTGCAACCGAAATATTTTGACTGTTGCGGGGTGTGTGTGTGTGTGTGTGTGTGCGTGCACTCATTCCTGGCCTATTCATTTATTGTTATTTTAGAAGTCATTGGGAGTTTTGCCATTGACTCCTGTAGAGCCAGGATTTCTCCATGTACTTTCTTATTAAAACAGAAGAGCACATGGAATTCATCCCTCACCATTCTTTTCTACCATTGCCACTAATGAGATCAGAGGGACACCCCACTCCCAGACACCCTTTGTGGGACCAGTAGCCAAGAGGGGCGTTTAATTTTATCTACAGTGGGTAAGAGCAAAGCAGCAATGAAAAGATACAGTTAGTTTTTATCCTTTGTGCACAGAGATTCTCACGGAACTCTCTCCCTACCACCACACTCTCATTTTCAAAATTGCTATGTGGGGGTGGGGGAAGCTAATCTCTTTTAGGTCTGTGGGGCAAGGATCCCTTTTTGACATGGCTTTAAAGGTCACAGGCTCTTTTGCCTTTCTGTTATGCCACACAGCTGACTGTAAGCAAGCAGGCTGCCTGGGAGCACAAAGGAGCGCTGTCTGACATTTGGCAGAACACGGTTAATGTTACAGAGGAAGGGAATCTGAAAACAAAACCGGACTCTATGCTATGCAAAGACCCATCGGGGGCAGAGCCCCGGAGCACAGACAACAGAGATACATAGCATGCCACCCAAACGTGTATTCTAGACAAGCCTAACAGAATTACTGCTGGGCTCTAATAAGCTAAATACAGCACGCTACGTTATGAAAGCACTTGGCAAATGTTAATTAGACAAATCCTGCTTCAGTCATAATGCTCGCTGATTTCAGGCAAAGACCACAGTATTTGTTACCAACCCTTCTGTTCTGAGACGATTGTACGTTAGGCTGTCTGTAGCTGCCAGTTTTGAATAAGCGTTAGCGTCTCTCACTCTCTCCATAACGTATGCAACAAAGGCACAGCCACGCAGAAACACATCTGTCTTGCTGTCTCCATTGCGAGCGAGGCATTTCTTCTCTTGCAGCCACACAAACTAAATGATTTTCACCATGCAAATTACCTCCCCCCCCCCACAATTTGTTACTGTGGTCTATTGCTTTTAAAAACAACGTGTTAGTTGTCCCAGTAAAACAGCAGCTGAATGTTCCACCATCAGGGGCAAGTCCAGAATATGGGGCGTCATTTCTGGGTGTCCACTTTCTATGCCAGTGGAGACACAGGGCCGCATGCAAATCTTGCCCTGGATCTCTAGGGGAGAGCATGTGGGCTGTAGCACACGTGAGGGCAATGTTTGGGTGGGTCAGCATTGGGGGCAGTGTCTGAGCCACGGCTGAGATGGGCATGGGAAGCACCACCAGGCCCGTGATCTAGGTGCTGATGGAAATGAAAACTTTGAATGGCTTTTTGAGCGGAAAACTCCTTTTAAACAAATTTGCCTCAATGGGTCTAGCTTGTTCCAATCCAGCCTGTGCTATGTTTGTTCTATTTTCTCATGGTTACCAGCCAGCGGTTTCTTTAGGATTTCTTTTATTTTTACGGTCTAACCCAAAAATGGCCAGGACAAACACACCGATCAGAAGAGAATTAGGGCATCCTAAATACTACAGCATCTACAAACGTAGGCATCTTTCATTGGCCTCTTTGGCCTAGGTCTTGCAGCGCATGAGGGACCTGCTGTTCTAAGATCGTGTGCTCTAGAGCTGTAGAGGAATGTTACCTGTACAGTGTGGTGAATGTTCATAACTGGCTTAAAATATCTGGGCTCTGTTTTATACACTCTCATATGGTATTCTGAGAAAAAAACAAAACAGCACCTGCCCAGATTGAGCTTCAGGGAGAATGTGATTTGAAATGAAAATCCTGCTGCCTCTTTTGTGTTTTTCCTCGAACCCTCCCCCATCCACTACCTTTTATTCTTTAGGTCCTGTAGACTGTGATTGCTTGACTGATGGATCAATCTGTGCCTGGCATTTCTCCACCTGCTGCAGCCTCATGTAGGGTTTCCTCTTCTAATAGGACCGATGCAACGCATCCTTTTATGGATTTTGCTTTTCAAACTTGAGTTGAGGATAAAAGGCTTGAATTGCTGAACTCTGGTAGATATCCCAGCCCATTCTCCTCTTCTCTCCGTGCCAGCTTTCCACTTTATCTTTGGAGCTGCAGAGCCCAGCTTGTAATCAATAATGTTTGGTAAATGACTAGTCACAGAGAAGCTTTTCTTACACGTACTGGGCCAAATCAGTTCCTGGGGCAACTCTGTTGCAGTCAGTGGAGTTACACCAGCAATGAATTTGATCCTCACACTCTTCTGACTTGTCCCGTTTGCTTACTGTGGCGCTCCCAGTTTCGGACTATAACGTATTCAGATCTCTCTCTAGTACCTGCTGAATATACTCTGTGGTAAATACATGACATGTGGAGACCTGACACGCTATATTTGGTATTTAAATCTGCTGAGAGTGAGAGAGAGATTTAAATAAGCGCCTTCTTAGCAATTTTCAGAATTAAAAAAAAAAAAAAAAAAAAAAAAAAAACCTCTCCCTCCCTGCTAATAATTCCCCCTTTGAAGCTTAACAATGAAATCTATTTCCTCAATGTGTTCTCACTCATCCCCACCTCCCCTAATGCATCCAGCCTCTTTTTATTGCTGGGCTGCTCAGGAGGGCTGGGCATAGTGCCATGGCTGCAATGTAGTAGAAGAGCATTCACACATTTGTTCTGAGGCGATGTGGTAAGTCTGTGCACACGCACGCACTTTGCAGGCCTATAGAGAAAGGGGTCATGGGGGGGGGGTTTGGACCTTGACAGCGTTCATTCTAAAATGTTAATGGCCTTGGAGTACCGTCCTTGAGGTCATGGGTGCTACACCAGAGCTGCATTTGACCCCCAGAACCTGGTTTGTGGTATCAAATGGGGAAAGTGAACACAGCGGAGCGGATTCTGCACTGACTTCAAGGGAATTGCATGAGAGAGAGTTCCATGCGGGATAACAGCTGATAAACATATGGTCGGAAAGGTGCTAATCAGTCACAATCGCCTATGGGATTAACTGATTTAAAGAGAACCCTTCTCCTCTTGCGCTTGCAGCACCAAAAACATCATTTGCACTTTATAATCAACTAAGCAGGTGCATCTAAGTGGGGATACAAGACGTGGGGTCTGGGTGGAAGGAGATGCGAGTGCTACCGGTGCGGGGGGTGAAAGGCAACTCCTGAAAGCCAGAACTAGAGCAATACCTTTTCGTTAAGTGGCATTTTAAGCACCGTGGGTTTAATTACATGTGCAGTTGTACACCTTTGCCTGACATGCCTGGGCAATCATGATATCTGTGCACAGGAATAGCCACTTGCATGGGTAATAACCAAATTTGTGCACACAACTCTGACTCAAGGAATTGAAAACAAGCCTACGGCAACACAGCTGTGGGGGTGTTTGGGTTTTTGTTTTTTTGTTTTTTAAAGAACCAAAACATTCTGACGTTTTGAAATATTTCTTTCACCAAGGAAGGGTAAGAATTTAAGATGTAATGAAGTTGGGGCCTGATCCAAAGACTATTCAAGTTGATGGAAAGTTTCCTATTGACTTCCGCAGGCCTTGAAACAGGTTCAGAATGGTCAATTGCTTTTGGGAGTCTGCCATAGATTTGAAGAATCTGAGTGAATATAAGTCATTGGTGCTTGCGTGCTAGGCAACAAGGTGTGGGGAAAAATCAGTGGTGCTCGTGCCCTATGTGGCTAGTTGGGAGGCAACGGCCTGGCTGGCTGGGGCAAAGGAATGGGTGCTGGTGGGCAGTACAGCTGGATATGGGGAATAGGGCTGGCTGACCAGGTGTGGGGCAAAGGGCGGGAAGGTTTAGGCAGCAGTAATTTCATTGCAGTGCTGATTGATCTCTCATCCCCCTGCAGGTGAGAAGCCTTACAAGTGCTCGTGGGAAGGGTGCGAGTGGCGTTTTGCACGAAGCGACGAGCTCACAAGGCACTACAGGAAACACACAGGGGCAAAACCCTTTAAATGCAACCATTGTGACAGGTAATGCAGCCTTCTAAATCTAGTGTTCAAGCAAATGTACTGCTGGTGAAAGACAGCGCACTGCCAGCCCCCAGGGATCAAAGCCTCTGGTTTTCCACATAGCATACGTCGCAGCAGTGCATGTTTCCTTACAGCGCATCGCCAATGTTTTTTTTTTGCCCTGAAACCCCTCTCTTCCTCAGCGGCCAGCAGGAGTGTCAGGAGTGGTGGGGGGTTTTGGGAAGTTTGTCCGCTAGCAACTGGGCTGAGACCAGCAACTAATTTCTGTACCTTTTTTTCTTCTGGATACCTAAATCAGAAGCATGGAGTCAAGGCCAGATTGTGGTCCCAGCGAAGTCAGTGGGAGTTTTGCCATTGACTCTGACTGGAGCAGGGTTTGGCCCAATGCACAGCTTTATTTAGCAAAATCTCGCTTTAATGTGCATAAACTCTACCCAACCTGCTAGCTGCAACAACATCTTGGCTTTCCCTCTCCATGATCCCATGTGACTTGGGCAACAACAAAAGACTGAATTCGCAGTTGCCCTTCCTCGCTTACAAAATTGTGATTGGGCTCCACCTCTTGGCTTCCTGTCCCTGTAAAGGAAGTCACCTGAGGACTGTCGAACCTCACAAACCAATGGGTCAAGCGAGTCAACACAGCCTAAGATGGGGAGTGTGGGACACTCACAGGTTCTCAGGTGAATGGCGAAGGCACCCAAGATCTAGAACCAACCCGAGGGGACTGCCAGCATTTTCCCTTTTCTGCATGTTAAATCTATCATTGATCTTCTGGTTCAGTTAAATGAGCACACAGACCTATGTTTGCCTCTCTTCCTATAGGCAGTTGGAGGGACAGTTCCTGGGGAAACAAAGGGCAACATTTTCAAAAGTGCCTATGTGATTTAGGCACATCTGAAAATGTTACCACAAGGATTTTGGGTGAAATCAAAGGAGCCATGATTATTCACACTGACTGAGAATCTAGTCCTCTTGTCTTTAAAATCACACACTTGACGACCTCCATTTTATGTGATACTGTAGATTTAATATTTTGTCATCTGTCTTTTTAAGCACCAAGATCCAGGGATAGGTACCCAAAGCAGGTTTTCCAAAGAACGCTCATCCAACAGCTCTCATTGGGGCAGCTAAAAAATGAGGTGACTGGGTTTGCCTAGAGAGCTGTCTGCTCAGCATCTGAGGTGCTGGCCGCTGATTCCTCTTGAAAATCTGGCCTCTTCATTTAGGTGCCTGAATGGAAGCAGAGCTCTTTTGAGAATCTGGTCCCAGTTGCGGTTGCTGAGCACTTTTGAAAATCTGGCTCTATAAAATAAATACATAATTGGGGTGGAGCAAGAGAGACGCTACACAAGGAATCACATCTGACAGTACTGACGTTATCAGACAATAACACCCCCCTCCCAAACTGGAGGATGGCAATGCCCACTGTGAAGGCTGGATCCAGTGTAGGCATAATCAAATAATGTGCTTGCATCTGAACATGTTATCCGGCTAATCCTATTTATATATATTTTTAAGAGGCTTAAGAAAATTACCCGTCTTTTTAATGCAGCACTAAGGTTCTCCGTTATGATAAGAAAATGGTTTGTAATACAATATAGAGTTTATAAAGCCTGTGGGCACACCAGACTGGCCAAGAGCATGCACAGAAAAATGATACATAGAACATAAACAGGGACACATCCTTTGATGGGAAGGAAATTTGATCATTTGCACATCCTGTCTTTCCAAGATCCTCATCCTCCTCTGTCCCCCGCCCCCAACCAAGGGCTTCCTCTGTCTTTTATCCCTGGATTATCTCTTGTTTGCTCAGAATGATAAAGAATAAACCAAGCACAAACCCTCTGGATTCTTGCCTTTTTATTAAGCATCTCTGTGAAGTAGAAGAACATTGGTGTTCTTTATTTTTATTGTAAGAGGCTGCTTTCTGCTGGTCTTTGCTCTTTAAGAACCAACCAAGCCCCCCCAATTCCTTAACCCCCAAACAAACAAACCACCCTTTTTGGTTTCTGTTGCAAAAAGGCAACAGTTGTGATCACTCAGATCCAAGGAGATCTCACCACTTACTATTAACACCACAATCTCCTTTAGTCGTTTGTCACATGTCGAGTTGGAAGAATACCACCTCTCTAAGTGTTTTTTCTATAGCAGCCCCCATCACAGTGTCTATTTGCTGTTTTATTCTATGAATTTGTTCCCTTAAAATTGTCAGTTTTTCCTCCTTTGACCACATCAATGGCTAGGTAAAAAGTATTCACCAGTTTAAACTGATCATATGTGGTGTAATCTGTCCATCAATTTCCCACCACCCTTTCACTGGGTCTAGTTTGGGAAGCTCAGGGACTTGCTGTGTTCAAAGTGGTTCAGAGTGATGGCTCCTTTACTTCGCTGGGCCTGCTTTGACTTCACACTTTCTTTCCTTTCTCTTCCTCTTTCCCGCTTCCCAAGTGTGCTCACCGCCCCCTACTCCAGGCCTGGATTCAGGCATGCCCTTAACCACATACTTGAGTCCAGCCGTATTCAGGAAAGCATTTAAGCACGTGCTTCAAGTTAAACAGGTGCTTTCCCGAATTAAGGTCCCAGATAGTGAGAATCCCATTTCTCCATCTCTAAACTGCTGCCTCTTAGATTTCTTTTTAACTTCTTCCTTTTCACCCGCCATTAATGACAGAAGGGTCCTTGCCTACAGTAAACATCCTGGTTTTCTGAGCTTTAAGTAGCCTTAGGTCCATCTTTCAGCAGTGTCGATGTAGTGTAAACCAACTGCACACCACTCTTCAGAGGTGAAGGCGAGTACTTTGGCCAGCAGAGCATGAAAATGGTGATTGAACTACCAGTAGGGGGAGTGTTTATGTATGTGATCCATCAACGAGTCCATTAAAAACCCCTCTTTCAGGGCTGTGGGTTTACACCACTAGCCTTTTGGATTGTATTCATGCTATCAGCCTAGAGGACAATTTTAAAAACAACACATATAGGTCGATTCAGGTGTTATAACTTTTAGTGAGAAAAGGAAGTGGGGGTGGGGAGACAAGAAGCTAGAAGTCTGTCACTTTGTTTTCTCCCTCCCCAAGTGCACATGCACACACACACTCTCTTTTTCAAACAACATTGGTGACGTCTTTTTAAAGCACCGAAATTTCAGGTGCACACAGTCTTTGGTGTAAACGGGGGTGCCGAAGGGTTTGTGGCAGACCTTTGGCCTTGGGTGTAAACACAACTCTCTTTGTCATGAAAGGGGATTAACAGCTGAAGTTTCTTCTGGAAAAACAGGATCCTTTAAAAATGAAGTATTTAGTTTTGCCCCCACGTCTTACAGGACACAGATCGTATTGTAAATTTTGGTTGGCAAACTACCACCGATGTGAGGAACAGCATATGTACAGCGAGTGGTGTGTGCTTTGGAGGCAGCAGGGGAGAAAGCAGAGGGAGCTGAAGTAGCCCAGAAGGAGATGAAAGAGTCCCCAGGGTGGCTGAGGCACCATAAACGTGTGGGTTATTAGCACTGCCAAAGAATTAGTTGAGAAGCTTTTCAGAACCAGGGGTGACTTTACATACCCTATGTCGGGACACCTGGGTGAGCCATGGCCACAGCTGTCACATGTGTTCAACTGAGGGAAACGTGATGTAAAACTCAACTTTATATATATGGGTATTCTCCTTCACTGCAAGCGAAGAGCCATGTGCTCCCCTCCACACAGCTGGAGGGGTAGGTAGATTGCTCAGAGGACCAAATCCCTCTGGGCAGAGGAAAAAGATGGCTGAACATTATATTCTCTTCCCATCCCAGCTGCCTCCTCTTGTTGCTCTGCAGATGCGGAGATGAAACCCAGCAGCATGTTTGGGAGTAGGCAGTTTATGTCCATGCAAGCCCATCAGGAATTATGATATTTTTATGCTTTGCAAGCTGTCCCTGCTAGGAACAATGCAGGGACACATGCAGCCTTTCTGAATCCTGGAGGGGGTACGTGCTGGGCGTGGGTACAACATGCAGCAATGCTACAGAGGTGGCAAAGTTGTGGAGACAGAGACCTGTCCTGTGGAAGACCAGAGATCCACAGGATTTTCCTTCATGGATCCCTATCTCAGAACCTATTTAGGACAACTGCCCATTCTGGGCCAACTCTACTGCCAGCACCAGTTCCAAGAAGGGAAAATGTGGCTGGACCTCAGCAACTTAATAGCTGCAGATGTGTCTTGGGCTTTTTGATGGTAGGATTTAGCTGTAAAATTTTGTGGGGACTTACCTAAGAATGGCCATACTGGGTCAGACAAAAGGTCCATCTAGCCCAGTATCCTGTCTTCCAACAGTGGCCAATGCCAGGTGCCTCAGAAGGGATTACCTGTTCTGTTCATTATCAAGTGATCCATCCCGTCACCCATTCCCAGCTTCTGGCAAACAGAGGCTAGGGACACCATCCCTGTCCATCCTGGCTAATAGCCATTGATGGATCTATCCTCCATGAAGTTATCTAATTCTTTTTTGACTTTTTTTTCCAGTTGAAACTGTCGTCCTCCTCTAGGAGCCTCCCCAGTAGATGAAGTTAACTGAATTGCTAGCCGGGAAAGAGCCTGCAGGATTAGTTATGTATCATTTTATTAGGTGTAAAAATATATTGGACCAGAACATAAGGTTATTGATACAAAACAAAGTTTTGGTTCTGTTATTAACATTAACAAATCTTGCCATGTCAGTGACTCAGCAAACTTTTAATCAGTATTGCTTCTGGTTATTAGCAGGCATCTGAGAGAAGCAGTGGTCGGGTGGTGGTCTTGTGGCTGGTCATAGTCTAAAATGCCAGCTGGTGCCTGTCTTCCTGGCCCCCAGACTTGTTTTGGCAGCTGTAATATCCATAGCATGCTGCTTTCTCCATTATCCTGATGAGAGGGATGGCTGTCCAAGGACATATTTGGTACCCTGCAGCTGGACAATACTAGCTGTGGTGAGCCCACTCTCCATTGTAAGGCTTTCCTCTCTGTGTCTCTCTCTCTCCAGATTTAATGCACATACTTCACCCTGGAACTTAAAGGAATGCAGGATTCCAACTCCATTCCATTCTAAAATTGTGCTTTTTAATTTTTTCCTACTCTGCTTTGTAAAGAAAGCATGGACCAGATCCTCAGCTGGTATGAATCAACATAGCATCATTGATTACACTGGAGCTATGCTGATATACACCCGTTGAGGATCTGGCCATGTAGGTGAAGGTAGTCTTCTTGCAGATTTTCTGCTCTTACAAACATTTATCATATTTGCTCAAGTAGTAGGAGGCATACAGAGAATCAGAGAATAATGGCAAAAGGACAGACTAAGTGCACAACCAGGTCTTTCCCCTCTGATTTTCATGATTCTTTCTTTGCCTTATGCTGAAGGCACCTATGGGACCTGTTTAACTCAGTCATTGTTTAAAAAAAAGTTAATTTCCTTACCTGCTTTTTACTGAGAAATGCAGATAATTCAATTATTGCTTTGATCATAATTTATTCAGCATAAATCTGTTTGCGTGCATGACAAATTCTAGCAACAAGCTTTTAAAAAAAAAAAAAAAAAAACGTGTGCCAGTGTTTATTTTGTAATGTAGCTTTGTGTGGCAGTGCATGAATTTTCAAAGCATCACAGACAGGTTAATTCTGGAAGTGGCCTGCCACAACGTACACTGCGCTAAGATTCCAGCAACAAGAAGCAAATGTAATTTGTGGTGGATTCTTTATTATTATTACTAAATATAACTTAGAAAGTGTCTTACAGGTTAGGGTGACAAGAGTAAAGGCCAAGATTTTCAAAAGTTCCAAGCGATTTTGGGCATCTCAGGTTTTGAGTGCCCAGTCTGAGGCATCTGAAAGGGGCCTTATTTTTCAGAAAGTGCCAAGGACCTGCCCTCTGGAAGCAGTCCTCTTTAAAAGGTATCACTAGGCACTTCTGAAAATCTTGGCTTAAGGCTGCTTTGTATATAGTGGCATTTGGGTGGCCAGTGTGAAATGAGTTGCTGCTCTCAGTCCAATTCCTAGCATATCACATTTGGCATTAATGTTCTCTCTTCCTTTTGGAAATGTTAGCAGAAGGGTCAAGGATCGAATGGCCATGAAGAAAGAATTGCCCATTGTCCTCAGAAGTTCAGTCACAGTGAATACACTTCGGTGGAGCAAAGCACTGTGTTAATGTTGTGATTGGAGAGAGGTTTTCATTCTCTAGGGCTCTCATTCTGAGAACCTTTCATAAGCACGAACATGCATCTACATTTGTACCAGTGCCAGCATGTTTTGCATGTGGACTAAAAATAAGATGGCCTTGGGGGATAAAGCCCAGAACTGGGAAGTAAAAGACCTGGATTCTGTTGCTGGGTTTGCCAGACTTCCTGTGGGACCTCAAGCAAATTCCTTATCTCGCTGTGCCTCAGTGTCCTCATCTATAAAATGGGGATAATGCCTAGCTTCCTCTCAGGGATGTTGTGAGACTACCTTCATCAATATCTGTATTGCACTCATTCTCAGAGAGAAGGCTCTCTGGGCCAGATTTTCAACAGAGCTCTGCTTCGATTTAGGTACCAAAATGAGCAGCTCAGCCCTCAAATCTGGCCTCTTATTTTGATGCCCAAGTGGGTGCTGATGTCTTTTGAAGATACGCCCACACCTAAGGGTGCTGAGCACTTGAAAAATCTGACCCTATAAAATATGCAAAATTATTTAATTTTATTACTACAGCTACTTGCTTAATGAGTTAGCTTGCCCATTCCCCAGTTTCTAACAATATGAATCTGGTGGGGTTGGAATGAGGGGAGAATAATCTACTAACGAAGAGCCAGCATAGCTACTTATCTTGAATGGTGGAGGAGAAGTCACCTTGACTTTGTGACCACATGTGGCATGTTCAAGGGAGCTGCTGTAAACCTGGGTGAACATTGTTCTTGTGCATGATGGTGGAGGAGCAGAAAGGCCTGTTTTGTAAAATCCTTATTTTGTTTGTTTCGCAGGTGTTTTTCCAGGTCTGACCATCTTGCCCTCCACATGAAGAGACACATCTAAGTACCTAAAATCAGTCAGCATGGCATAGATGTCAGCTGAGCTACAAGACATGGCATGAAGGGTGGAACTCGGTTATAACCCGCTGCCTTGCAGAAGAAGAGAACTTGATCACATGTAAACCTCTGTACACAGACCACACACTCACACTGTCATGCACCCAACTATACTTAAATACATACATCTGTTCTTTATGCCTTGCCCCAGCTGGATGGAAGAAGGTGCAGGAGAGGAGATGGGGTAGAGGTGAAGTCAGTAAGATAGAACAATTGCTTACAGTACTTCATCACCCTTGGATTTGTTTCCAGCTATTGCCAGTAGAAATCAAAGTAAATGGAAAAGACTTCTCTGCAGATGGACAGCAAGTAGGAGGGGCTTATTTAACTCGCTTCTCAATGCAACTCCATAGGAGAATATGTCGTCTTCAAGTTGCATATTTGTAGCACTAACTTTTCTTTTTAAATAGATGGGGGGGGGAATAATGACCTAGAAAACCAAATCCCAGTTTGGTAGCCAAAATTAACCTCTTGGTTCCTTTATTCTTTGTCCGAGAATTCCTAATGCTCGACACGTCAAACTTCTCACAGACCCTTTGATCTGTCTTGGTTTTGGTTCTTCCTAGAACTGAGCTATTAAGATCCTTTTAAGTCAATACCAATGGCCTTAATGGCAGTTGACTGTGGAGTGACACCTGTGACATATACATCATCTGTTTGGCCTGAGTTTATGTAGACTTCATGGAGGATGATATTTTTGTTTGGGTATTTTTGTGTTAACTTTTTTTTAAGCTATTGCATGCCCTATGCACTGGTAGGGATTATGGAAGCTGCTGGCATGACTGGAAAGCAGCCAAAAGAAGAGTCCCTGAAACACCACGTTATATCTCCATAGGCATCACCTTATTGCCATAGCTAGGACTTCTTGTTTTGTCTAATGAAAACTTGAAAAGCTCATGTGGAAGCTTAGACATTTTATCTTTTCTCCATGAACAAGTGATCTTCAGAACTTCTTTTCTTCACCTGCTTATCTGTCTTGGACTGGCCAATCAGGCGTGACTACAGATTTCCTTCAGCACCATGTGAGCATGTTGGCTACAATCCACAGTGATTGACAAATTGTGTTGCGTGTTCTTGTTATTCTATTGACCAGTTTAAAACATTGACTTTTATTTGTTGAAAGAGCACCTGCAAACATTTATTTTCTAAGCCTAACTTTTGGTTAAGCATCTTACAAAAAAAAAAAAAAAGCCAAAAATACTACTCCGGTCCCAGAGTGGGAAAGTGAGAACCTCTTCCAAATAAAGTGGCTTCATTCAGCATTAATCTTTTAAAGTAAAGATCACAGTCCTCCTTTCCCATTCATCAAGGTGATGGTATAGCCCACGGATATAAAAAAATTGTAAGAATATTTAAAGGGTGAATGAAGGGTTGGCTTTTGTGCACAGCACTGAGGATTTTCCAAGTGATCGGTCTAAAGTATTGGTAGCATGGGTCATATTCGACCTTCAGTCTGTACCATCCAGGATCAATGGAAGCCTCACGCTCACCCTTGAATCCTGTAGATAATTTGACCATCTTGGCTCAAAGTGGACTAAATTTCTTGTTTAAAAAAAAAAAAAAAGTAATATATATATTATATAAATACAACTTGCATTTATAGCAAGTTGGCACTGGCCCTAACTCCAAAGACTGCCTTTAGGACCATATAAAATGGCCTATGCAAGCAGGTGGGGTGGTCATTAGGACAGGTTGTATATTTTGTATATTCTGGGACCCTCCTTACAAGACACGTCTAGAAATGAAACAAAATGGCATGTGGTCCACAAATGGTTGCTGCTCTTTTATACTGTACTAGCCAACTGCCCTCCTTTGACTGTTTTGACTCATTGACTGTTAAGTATTTCCCTTTTGGGATACAAAACTGAACTTTTAAAAAAAAATCCATAGCTGTAAAACGTAAGAGCAGTCACTGGAATCATTGGTCCTTGCGTTCTCAGCGTTTGCGCAACCTTTGTTCCAGTCAGAGATTGAATCTACCTGGAAGATGTTTATTTTGCTCACAGTTTTTACAAACACTGACTGTCAGTTGGACACTTTGGTGGCGAATATGATATCTGGCCCATACGGCATGAGATATGGACCAAAATCTAACCATCTTTTTGGGGGGCAATGATGTAACAGTGAAAAAAGTAAGAGCAAATTGAGTTTTAGTCCAAAGATTTAAAACTAACTTTACTATTAAAAAAAAAAAAAATGACTGGAGCACTGCTTGCTGACAATCTCGTAGTTCTCAACTTCTGTATTTGCATACTTCTTATGGCCATTCCATCCAGGAGTTCAATTGGGTTCTGAGGGCCCTACAACCCAACTTGTGTTTGACTATGTGGAGCATCTTACCAGGATGTCTCATGGGAGCTTGAGGATACTTGAACCTCAGTTGCGTGAAACTATAGAGCATCCATTCAGTGCATTAGATAAAAATATAGAAAACTCTAGAAGAAGTTCATTCCCATAGTATCCTACAGTACATGTGCACATACCCACCACTACATTAGTCATTGGCTATGAACCTGTATAAATGTTCTCTTCAGAACTCTAGGTACTCCTGCCTCTAGAAATGTTACTAATAGTCCAGAAGACTTAATATTAAAGGCAATTTAAGTACAAGGCTCTATTTTAAAAATGAAAAAAAAATTGAAAAGAAAATGTTTGCTTCCTCTTGTCACTTGAGGTCTTGTTGACATCTCATTTAAAATATAGCAGAACAAGGGCCCTTTTGATAAATATCAAAAATTTCTGAAATATTTGGAAACTCTTGTCTCTACAGATAGGGCTAGAGGTGTTCTACAGACCTCTATTAGTTTCCTCCATATTAAATTCTATAGGACTTTTCTATTAGGAGAGAAGTCTTCGAAAAGAAAAAAAGTTATGGAAGTCCCAGTATGACTCTGTCAGCAGACATTACTGTACCATGCAGCCTATCCCTATGTCTTGGGTCCTTACCCGACACATTGGAGTTAAATTCCATTAGATCTAAAGTAATTTACATCACTCTGCATATGCACATTAGAATACTATCTTTCTTCTCATTGGCAGCAGGCTTCACTGGAATCTGATTTAAAAAAAAAAAAAAAAAAAAGGCAAGCACCATTTTGCTTGATACCCTGAAACCATTGACCAAATATGGGAGAAGAGGGTGAATTGGAATGTAAAAGTGGGATCCGCTCGTTGCTTTCAAGACTCTGTTTAGTTTAAACTAAAAGCAACAACTAACCTTTGATGTCCTGCCTAAAACTGAGATAATGGATGAATATGGTGGCTAGTGTGACTGAATGTACCTTCTCTGTGACTTGATCACTATTTGCGAACTCAGAAGCAAGCTCTCTCTCTCTCTCTCATTGTTCCCCATTTTTGGGCATTTTCGTTTCTTTAGCAGTTTTCAATACAAAGATTGCCCCCCTATTTAAGCTGTTGGTATCTTTGCTTCTCTATGTACTGAAGAGATCATAACTGATGCTTGCAATATAAGAAACAAATCAAGCTTGTTTAATTGTTTCCTTTTTTCCTCCACCTTACATGTGTCAACGTATAAAAAAATATGAGGGGGAAAAGTTTGTAAATAATTTCACTTTCACAAGGCCAACCGCCAGTGGCTCCAGGGTTTTTAAATCACGCTTTTTATTCATGCCTCAACACAGCTGGGCATCCCCATGCAGTAGGATTTTGTATGTTTAAGCTTTCATATTTGTGGGCAAAACCTCTAACCCAACACTCCCTTAAAATACATTTTGTTGGTTTCTGGTAGATCATATATTTTAAAAAGAATGTGAAAATAACTCTATTCGGTATTGGCTTGAAAAACAAAAACATGAAAATCCTCTTCTTCATAAGATTTTACACCCCTTGATCGAAGAGTCTTGCCTTCTCTTACTAGCATTATTTCTAGTCCCTTGGAATGATGATTTCACAATGAAGCTAATGTGGTTAATCGTCCAAGTGTTGCATTAATAATAACCTGGACAAATTCTGCGATCTTACTCAGCCACAACATCTCAGTGGCAAGTTTTGCCCAGGTAAGAACTGCAGGAGTTGGCCCCCACACACTAAGGTCTCTCTTATGTAGTGAAACTTTTCTCCCTTCTTTGAGAAAGAGGTCAGTTATATTCAAAAATGTGGTGACCGGCTGCCTTCTGTACCGCCTCAAAAGCGGACTTACCTAACCGAAAACATTCAGAAGCAGGTGTTTTCAAACAGGGTTTTGGGGTTTTTTCCCCCTTAAAGCTTATTAGTAGCATTTTTATGTAAAAATTAAAGTTGGACTGTTCATCATTTTCAAAATGAAAGCATTTACTTTTAAGTGTTTTGATTCCAACTTGTGTATACTGCCAGAAAACAGGTTCTACCCCCTCTCTCTGGGTGGGTATGTACAGCACATACTTACATGGAAGGAGAAATTGAGCTACTGACATTTTCAGTGTGGTAGCCAACTGTGCCTATTACCTTTGGTTTGGGGAGGGTGCTTACGGTTGCCAGTGCATTTTAGAAATAGCGTGGGCTTACATAGGACGTTTTCCACCGTATTTGTTGCTGTGTATTGTGAGCTAGTCGGCTGCAAACTAGGGGGCGGGGGAAAGGAGGGCTCAGACTATATACCCTGAGAGTGAAACAGAATGGAGAGAGATGGCATTTTTAGCCTTTATCTTTGGACTGTAGAGAAAAATAAAAACCAACACAGTCCCAGAAAGGCCTGTTGGCTGCGGGGGCTGATCCTTAGCTTATATTTTAACCCCTCTCTCCTGTAGTTTAGAACACGAGCCCTACAGGCCCTGAGAGTAGCTTGAAACACTGGTTTAAACACTACTTTGTTACTGGGGCCTTGTCTCTACCAGACAAGTTGCACCAGTTTTATTAAATCAAGCTAGTTAAACTAATAAAAAAAGCCACTACATAGGTGCACTTAACCTTTGCTCAAGTCTGTTTAGTTTGCATTGGTAACTTTTAATTATTAATCTTAACTGATGCAAGAAACAGCTACGCTATTTTAGGTGCCTTTATATTGGAGGCTGGCTCTGGTTTAACTAGATTGATTTTTAAAATCAATCCTAATGAACTGCTGTAACTTTTCTCACATAAAACAAGGCCTTAGTGTTTCTGCTCATTTAAACAGGAAGTAAAAAATAAGGCCAAGATATTTTTCTTTTATAGCAAAGTTTACTTTCTGCCCCCTCCGCCCCCCTTGTTTAAGCTCTTTCTTGCTCCCTACCATATCAGTCTTTCCTTTAACAAAAACAAAAATAAATATGAGTGCTCTCCATTTGAAACAAAAACAACACCCCCCCCACCACACACACACACACAAACAACATAGCTTGAAGGATGTTCATTTTGCACTATAATTTTTCTTTTGCCAGATGTGTCTAACAAGTGCATTTGGAGATGCCCTCGGTCACATTCTCTCAGGCCTACTCTGGTATTTCTAATATATCACAGAAGTACCCAAATCTTGTAGCCCTCAATTCTGCCTTTTTTTGACATTTTATTTTTTTTTTAATTTTTTTATAAATATATATATATATATAAATATAAATATATTACTTTGTCAGTTTTTTTGCTGTACAAAAAGTCTTAAGATTTAAAAAATATTATTTGTATTATATGATGGTGGTATGTTAATGTTACAAAATTATTAATGAAGAAAAAATTTATTTTTGTTACTGGTCTGTTTCATAATTCTTTTTTAAATTGGTATATTGTAAGATATCTATGCAAAAATGTTATGTGATGCATTTTTATTTAAGAATGTAATATGTGTAATAAACAGTAGAATGTGTTTGGCCTGAAAACGGTCAGTGTGTCCTGAATGTTATTTCTTTATCGGAACTTCTCTGAATGAAACCTCTTCAGATAATAAGGCCTTAACACTGCAAACACATACACAGAATCATAGAACCATAGGGTTAGAAGGGACTGCAAGGGTCATCTAGTCTAATCCCCTGCCAAGATGCAGGATTTGTTATGTCTAAATCAGGGATCGGCAACCTTTGGCAGACGTGCCGCCAGCTCATTTAAACAGGAAGTAAAAAAGTCGTGGAATCTCCTTCGCTGGAGGTTTTCAAAAAGAGGCTGGATAGCCATCGGTCTTGGATTTAGACTGGGGTCGGCAACCTTTGGCATGCGGCCCGCCAGGGAAAGCCGCTGACGGGACGGTTTGTTTACCTGCCGCGTCCGCAGGTTCGACCAATCACAGCTCCCACTGGCTGTGGTTTGCCGTCCCAGGCCAATGGGGGCTGTGGGAAGCGGAGCGGGCCAAGGGATGTGCTGGCCCTTCCCACAGCCCCCATTGGCCTGGGACGGCGAACCGCGGCCAGCGGGAGCTGTGATCGGCCGAACCTGCGGACGCGGCAGGTAAACAAACCAGCCCGGCCCGTCAGCGGCTTTCCCTGGTGTGCCGCGTGCCAAAGCTTGCCAACCCCGGTCTAAATTATCCAAGACAGATGGCTATCCAGCCTCTTTTTGAAAACCTCCAGTGAAGGAGATTCCACGACTTTCCCTAGGCAGTCTGTTCCATTGTCCTACTGTTCTCACAGTTTGGAAGTTTTTTGTGAGATTTAATCTAAATCTGCCATGCTGTAGTTTGAACCCATTGCCTCTTGTCCTGCCCTCTGGAGCAAGAGAGAACAATTTTTCTCCATCTTTTTTTAATGGCAGCCTTAAAGTATATGAATGGTCCCACTGAAATCAGGATCAGGAACTAAATTATCTACTTCGTTTTTACCTTAGACCAGCTGAGTGTCATTTACATACATGCCCTCTACATGCCTGGTTTGGTTTAATCCCTTGATTAAAAATGTTCCTGATCCTCAGCTGGTATAAATCAGCATTACTCTGCTGGAGCTACGCCAGTTGACACCAGCTGAGGATCTGGCCCATGGCATTTTTATAATAACATACAGCACTTGCGTAGCTCTTTACATCTATAGCAGTCCAAACACTTTAGAAAGGTAAGTAAATATGATGATACCCTTTTACAAGGAGATTCAGTGACTTGCTAAAGGTTGAACAGCTCAGTGGCAGAGGTGGGGATAGCATCGAGGTCTCCCGACTTCCAGGCCTATGCTCCTGTCTATGGAGCACATTCCATCTCAAGGTACTATAGAGCAAAATGTCCATCTCCACTCTCACTTAGTCTCCCTCTTTTTGTGGCTGCAATTTTGCAGACACAAGTTAGTTCACTTGGATGTCGAAGCCCCGACTGTACCAACAAATCAAGTACTTGGATGGCCAACGACAGTAATTGTGGACAACACAAATAATGATTGGCATAAAATAAAGAGGTCAACTTCTTAAAATCTGTCTTGAACCCCTTTACGTTTATGCTGGTGGAAGTGCATATTCAAACCCACCTGCTTCATTAGGAATTGCATGCACTCATCTGATGGGCTGGTTGGGCCCCTATGATGCAATCTATCTGTTTTTCCTCCCTGGGACAGCATAGCTCATTACCCCAGAGAATTACTAATAGCACTATTAGTGTTAGACACCTGGGAACTGATCATCCAGTCAGTTGCGTGTGAACAACTCCCAGTGACTTCTATGAGATCCCCATTGGGCTTCGATGCTGGTAGTACATCCATGGCTTGGTTTTGAGCTCAGTGATACTGATCAAAACTGATGTAAGTCTACTACAGTCATATCTGGGGGAAGACTAAAGAGGGTACCCACAGTATTTCCAATACCCGTGGGTGGTAACTATTGAATGAGCACTGTAGTACAAGCGTACATTTTTAATAAGGGCTTCTGGTGAAACATAAAAATGGTGGGTGCTTTGTGTTTTCAGTAAGAGAAAAGCTGTCGTTTTAAAGTTCCACATAGACTTACGGGGCTTGCGAAAAGAGGCATTTGGGGGTGGGAATGTCATAAGCACTCAGCACTGATTTAACTCTTTTTCCCATTTAGGTCAATGGTGAAACTCCCAACGACTTTCATGGAAGAAGAGCTCGGCTAATACTGAGCACTTCTGAAAATCCCGCCATAGGTTCGGCGACAAAGATTCCAGCTGGGTGGATAATCAGCAGGGCTTACTTTGAAATGAAAGAGGTGCCAG